TTATTATTTAACTTTCAAGGGTAACTTGATTTTTTCAGTGGGCAATACTTACGAAACCTGGCAACTTAGTTCCGTTGGGACCGAGTTTGATTTATTATTAAAATTAAATTTAAATTGTCTCGATTAAAAAAAGGTGCAACTATAGTATGCGGTCTATCTCGAGGGTAAAAAATACCTGAAGGATTTGCGCAAAACAATGAAATGCAAGAAAACTTTTGTAGACAAATATTTATTCACAAGTATTAAACATTTGGAGCCAAATAAAGACTTAATTAATAAATAAACAAAAATTTTGTTAATCTGCCACGCTGTTTTATTTGAAAAGAGGGGTTGATATTTAAGCATACCCTGGAAAAAGATTACGGTGTTGTTGCCTTTCATTATTGTGTGAAAACCCTTCTGAAAAAAGATTATGGTAATTGCCATCTCATGTTTAAAATACCGACAAAAACAATTTTTTACAAAATGAATGAAACGCATAAGCCAGAAGAATAGCATTATTTTACTTTACAAATTAATACTTTGTCATATCAATTTACTATTTTAGTTAAAGCTAAGCCACAAGATTCCCAACTAGAATAGCAAATTAATGACAAATTAAATTATTATTAATTATAAGTTTTAAAAAATAATAAAAATAAAAAACCGTAGATTGGTTATTTTCTTTTGTTTATTGCAATACTTACAAACTTTTTAATTATACAGTGATAGTTACACATATTTTTACTGCATATTTCACAATTTTTTTTTGCTTCTTGTCCTTTTTTGTTGGGCACATATGATACGTTTTCCTTATTAAAACTAAAGGTTTTTCTAGTTTTTGCTTTTTATTGTGTGGTTCAACTTCCTGTATGCATTTCTCAATACACTGTTTTATTTCCCATTGTAGTCCCCTTGATTTTCTTCCTAACATTTGAGGCAACACTAGTTGTTCTGCTGTCTTGTAAGAAACAATCTTCGTTTTACAATTTTGTTTTCGTTTCATTTTGGATGTAAATTTGTCTAACTAACATATGAGGCTTTTAGACGTGGCTACCAGCCACGTTTGACTGATATCAAACGACTGATAGCAGATGCATAATTTATTTTAATATATGTATAGATACCTACCTAACGATATTATTGCATTCGAACAATTATTATCAGTTTTAAAATTCATTTAGAACAGATATAACTCATATTGTAGGCAGCTCTTTGATGTTCACATCAAAGAGATGTTTACATTGTTTGTTACACGTTTAGTCTTTATTGTTGGATTTCCGGAATCATAAGAGTCGTTTAGATAATCCACAAAAACATTACCTGATTAACTTCTTTAACAAAGATTTACACTTTAGGTATAAATACAAATAGAGTCCGACGAGCCCGTGTTACCTCGCGGATAAGCCACATTAAGATAAACAGGAATAAAGCGGAGATGCGCTGTCCTGAGTTTTTCCAATCGTATTAGCAAACCATGTTGGGGTTCTATTACCCAGGACCTCCACATGAAGAGCACTTGGCTGATTGTTGTGCCTCTATAGCGAATCAGACTGCTATAGGGGGGAAAGGGATGGTCTAGAACATTGGAGCACGGTGGGATGACTCCTGTTTTTTACTCGAGTTAGCACACCTTGCTCCAATGAATTGTTACACCCGATCGTACTACCTGGGTGAACATTTCTCATAGGCTGGGTTTAATCAAACTGCTGCTGAGCCCGTGTTGCCCCTTTACGTGACAAAATTCTTTCGACGCAATAATTTCAAAAATGATAATAAATATTTTGACTAGCTCATGACTATGTTGAAGTAAAAATATCTCTAAATAAACTCAGTGATGCATAGAATTGAAAATTTTTTTTATGATAAAATAATTGGAGTCTCGGGCCCGTTAGATCCATCTTGCCAAATTGTTGATTATATTATAAATTGTTATTTTTTAGACTGCCGCTCTGGAGGGACAACTAGCAATTCACAAAAAACAAAAAATTCCTTTAAGCCCACAACATCTTATCGATTGCTCTACGGAAGATTTCGGTTGTAGAGGCGGCCGTATGGATTCGGCTTTTGATTTTGTTAAATCAGAAGGTCTAAGCTCTGAAGCGAATTATCCATACGTTGCAAGAGGGACCACGTGTCGGAAAAATGTACAAAAAACTGTTACTTCTATCTCGGGATACAAGATTGTAAATCAAAATGAAAAGGATTTAATTTCAGCTATTGGTAAGTGTATCAACGTATTTCGATTCTGACACCACAGGAAAGCATCCTTTTGTTATACGAAATACTTGTTCTATTAGCACATGTTCTTTTAAAATAAATTTTGCCATGTACTTATCAGGGAACCATTGAGGATATTGGCAGTAAGTGTTTTTAGGTACATTTTTGGGTACTTAAGTGGAATAAAATTGCATCTAATAGTAGTCTACTTAAGGACCCAACTACTGTATAATTTTATTACGGAATTACTATTTAAAATCAGAACATTATAATTAAATCTGTTAGTGTCACCAGATGGTACCCAAGGGCTTGGAAAATCACCGCCACTTATCCACTCTCACGGTGCCTTACAGGGGGACTCCGACCAGTCAAGTCGACGTGCCTCCTACGTAGATTGCATCATCGATGGAATATTGGTATTTCTCACATGAGAAATCGCCGAGAGTCGAAAATGTCGCATATTTATGTTTCGACATGACATTTTTAGATCACTCGGCCAATAAAAAAATTGGAAAATGTGTTAAGGCGGGGCGATGCGCATTGGGGTGTGTATTAGTCCACGACTAAGGCCCTCGGATGACCTTAATAAACACCCTACAAATTTATAATTATTGTTTTTAAGGTTAACTTGTCAATTGACCTTCTTGACCTTTAGTCAATTTCAACACATGTACAGTAAAATCATTTAAGTTAAAAGCATTTAAAAGCCAGCATTTCATTCTAATCATTCAGCTTGTCGCTTCAGTTCTCTCCAGACGGATGGGATCTTACACCCATTCCATATCTTCTTCTTCTTTTTCTACTTCTTGGAGATCTTTTGATCTGTTTAATACTAAATCTGAGTTTGGTTAATTTCCTAGATTGCCAACTATCCCTCCATCTTTTAGATGGTCTTCCCGGAGGTCTTGAATCATGCTGGTTGTTTTCTAGGGCAATTTTTGGAAGTCTATTCTCATCCATTTTTCTAACATACATATGTACCACATCCTCTTACGTTACCTTCCCCATCTTACAATATCTTGAATTTTGCACTGCTCTCAAACGTTTGCATTCTCACCCTGTCTCTTGTTGTTTTGCTCATTATTGTTCTTAGGGTTTTCATTTCGGCATTGGGTATATCGTCTGTTCCAGGCAATTTTCTGTTTTTTGGCTTCTTGATCTTTGCTTCTACATCTTCGTCATTGATTGTAGCACTTATATCTGCTTTGTATTCGTTTATCTTCAGCGTTTCTTTAGCATCATATAGCTCTTTAAAATGGTGTTGCCGAGTCTCTACAGGTACTCCCTTGGTCTGCACGAACTAGTTAACTGGTTGATTCCTGTTTTGAAGCATTTTCCATACTTTCTTTTGGACACCATGAAGGTCGTAGTTTATGTCGCTTGTGAATTTAGCCCAATGTTTTGTTTCGATTGATTTTATTCTTGAGTTTACTTCTTTTCTTACTTGGACATAACTTAGGTTATACTTGGTTTTTTCACCTCTTGACGAAACCACGGTTAGGTGTGGTATATCGCCCTTGTGGTAATTCTATGCTTTCCAATTGCTTCTTTTGCTGCTTAGTTGATGCATTTCCTAATTTTTTTGGCAAGTATCTTCTACTCCCCATTCTGGTTGTAACTCGATCGCTTTTAGTTTGCTGGTAAGAATTGGGTTTTATGTTTTGTTAAGGACGTTTTAGTAGCATCTTGCATGAAAAAGGGTGTGATCGGTCCCCAGTTTAGCAGATGTTAGGGCTCTGATATCAAGTACTTGTGACGGTATTATTACTCGATTTGTGATTAAAAAATTTATCACTGATCACTGGCATCGATTATTATTAAAAGTGTATTTATCATGGTCTTGATAAGGAAAGTATGTGTTGTTGATTCTCATTTCATTTCTAGCGCAAAAGTGCTTCGCCGTTTTCATTTCATTTCATTTCATTAATAATTTCTTCGTTGAACTTTTGTTTTAACATGGTATGATATCGTTTTCGTTTCCGATCCGTGCATTAAGATCCCGAATACGATAATTTTGTGTTTAGCATTTATGTTATCTACGGTGTTTTGTAGTTGCTGATAGAAATTTTCAGTTTCTGCTGTGAGCTTATATATGTCTGGGGCATAGGTGCTTATCAGGTGTGTTGTTATGTTACTCATTTTTGTATAGACTTTTAATAACCTATAGTTGATGTATTCGATAACTTCAATGCTTTGCGTGTATTTATCGTGCGGCAAAATTCCAACTCCTGAATGTACTCTTTCTTGTTTAGCGTTTAAGCTGTATATGAGTGTAAACTCTCTGTATTTTGATGTTTCTTGGCCTTTTGCTTTGTTTCGGAGATTACGCAGATGTCAATATTGTGTTTTTTCATTTCTATTATGACCTCCTGGTCTCTTCCGTTCCACGACGTTATGTTCCAGCACGCGATTCGTGAGAGGGGGTGTTTAGGTTTTACTTTACCAATTTGTTTTTCCGTTATCATAGAGCGTGTCGTCATCTGATAGTTCTGTCCCGTATCCGGATGTGTATCTTTAGTTCTGTGAGCCAGTATGGATTCTTTACCCGAGGTAGGTGGCTAACCTCACCTTAGGGACCCACCTCCTTTATCCTCCGGGCTTGGGACCGGCATTGTAATCCGATGAGCTACTTAGTCTACCCATCAGACAACACAGGCGGAGATCCGTACCATATCTAAAGCTTTTAATGTATTTTGGTGCTGTTTTTTTTATTTTGATAAAAAAATTTATTCTATTATAAACAATTCTATTTTAAAGTACTTTGTCAATTCATTCACATTATTAGATAATTATTATAAAATATGTTATTTCTTTTAGCCAAAATTGGACCAATTTCGGTCGGAGTTGGTGCAAATCATTGGAGAGAGTACACAGACGGTATTTATAACAAAACAGATTGCGGACCACATTCACATGCAGTTCTTGCTGTAGGATATACTGATGAATACATTCTCATTAAAAATTCATGGGGGAGCAGTTGGGGAGAAGATGGATACATAAAACTAGCTAGAGGAAGTAATATTTGTGGTATTAACGACTTTACTTTGTATCCAATTTTATAAACTGTAAAACCAATTAAGTAGAAAATTAAAACTAAAATTTTGATAGTTTTAATAAATAAATAGCATATACATATTATTAGCTTGTTTTAATTACATTTAGAGCACATAATTTTCGAGTACACACAAGTTTTAACTGACTAATAGAGGAGGAGGTGAAAATATGGACCCTTAATTTGTTTTTACACTAGAGATTCTAAACAATCAACATTTTTTAAATTTCAATTTTCCACATAACTACATACAGTATTAAATAAAAAAAAATCAAGATCTCTAATCGGTTTACAATTTGTCGATAGCTCACTACAAGTTTGACTCCAATTACAGAACTGAAATACAGAGAGGATAGGTAATACGATATGATAGTAAAAACAAACCTGAAACTGATGGTTTAAGATGTTTTCGACTAACCCACCTTGTATCTGAAGAAATACAATACAACAGTCAACCTTATAATTCGATTACGAAGGTATTTTGGTTACAGATGACCGACCAGTGTCGTAGAGTATATGACTGAAACATTTATTTGAACTAAATAAATATATTTTTTAAATTGTAATTATGTAAATTGTATTTTTGTTTTAATAAAACTTCTTTATTTTATTCAAAAATAAAAAGTTTCTTGTCATTTGTAAAATATACATTTATTTAATTAAGAGGAAAGGCACCAAATGTCGCCCGGCAAAATTTTCAATGTGTTTTAAATGTATTCATTATTTTCGAATCCGAAGAAATATTTTTGAAAAATTTAAACGCAGAATGAAAGATTACATTATTACTGAGGGCAGAAAGTCCCTGAAAACTTCTACAATTTTTATTTTAATGTTATGTAACAGGGGTGAAAATAAAAGAGAAAATATAGTATAATTTTTAATTGAAACTATTGCATGCAAAAGAAAGTTTTTATTTATTCTAATAAATATTTCATTCTGCCTTTAAATTTTTCAAAAATGCTTTTTAGTTTTCTCAGGATTTGAAAAAAATGGATACACTTAAAACACATTGAACCTTTTGAGAGGCGACATTTTGCCCTATTTACGAAAATGGTTTTCCTTGGCCACTTCAGGACTATTTCGAGCTGCTGTCAATAAAGTTAGAATTGCCATGCTAGTTGCTAACATCCGTAATGGATAGGCACCACAAGAAGAAGAAGATCTCTTTGGATATTTCAATACTAATCTTCGCGTTTAATCATTTTACTAAAAAACCTGGAATTCATATCCGAAGGTACTATTTGTTGCAAGATAATTAGGATGGAATTCCCCAGATTTTTAATAATATAATGGGCATAAAGATGCCGGCTTAACTTGAAAGGGTGAAGTTATTACGAACGAAAACCATTTTTTTGTTTAGTACGTTTTTGATCGCATGTAATTTACGGATCGTCGGTGTTTCTGCATCTACGGCAGTAATTAGCATCTCGAATATTTCTTTTGCAAATGATTTGCATACCTACTAACATATACGTACCTTTCGCTCGTGCTGGTTTTGTTGGATTGTTTGTGATGACTTCATCATCAACATCATCAAGTTTTACACCGATACTGTTGTGTACAGTTAGTAAGTCTGTCTATTCACCAAGAGAGAAAACTGTTATCCTAAATGTTTACGATACTCTGGTTTCTCAGAATCCCACAAACACTGTTCGCAACATAGTCGAAAGTTGTGCCAACATGACTGGCGTAGAGGAGTCAACTATATATAGGTTCCTACCAGAAAGAAAAAAACACGGTATAGCTAACCTAAACACAAACGAACATTTAAAGAGAGGGAAAAAGCCTATTGAACTTAATGAATTTGCCAAAAATGGTATTCGAAGGAAAATTCAAGGATTTTTTTCAAAAAAGATATATTAAAAATAAACAAAATTTTACAAGAAGTTTTGATTGAGCGGGAGGAGATAATATGTTGGAAAAGAAATTATCTAAGATCCATACAAAAATTCCGGGCTGAAGGATGGCCATTCTTCTACCAGGATGAAACGTGGGTAAACTCAGGTCATACTCTAAAAAAAATTGGTCAGATAAAAATATTTTAAGCTCCATTAAACCTTTATGGAAGGTTGCTCTACTGGTATCTTGCCACCTTCTGGTAAAGGCAGTAGAATAATAATTTCTCACATTGGCAATGAAAAATGATTTGTTAAGCATGGCTTGTTGGAATTTCAATACAAAAGCACAAAAGACTATAACGAGGAGATGACAGCTGATGTTTTCGAAGAATATTTTGAGCAGATGATTGAACACATATCTCCAAATTCAATTATCGTATTGATAATGCACCTTATTATTCACGACTAGTAGACAGACTTCCAACGACTGCGTGGAAGAAAGAGGATATTCTTGACTGGCTGCGGAATAAGTATCTGCCTTACGAAGATGGAATGGTAAAAGCAAAACTTTTAAAAATTGTCCGGCAACACAAATCTAAGTTCAAGACGTACGTAGTTGATCAAATGGCGGAAAGGCGAAACATCACACTCCTTAGACTTCCACCCTACCACTAGAAATAAATCCAATTGAACTCATTTGGGCACAAATGAAAAGTTATGTGGCGAGAAAAAATACCTCATATAAAATACAAGCTGTACGTAAATTGTTATACGAGTCTTTACAACATATTACAGAACAAAACTGGAGATATGCAGTAAGACATGTAATAGAAGAAGAACAAAAAATGTGGAAAAAAATTTGTGGATAACAAAATTGATGCGACCGTAGAGACACAACCGCTAATTATTAACCCTTAATACGACTCGGATTCCGAAGTTGATACTATTTATTTTGAATTTGAATAGTTTTCTAATCGTAATTATATGAGGTAAGTAATAGTAGTTGTAATCGTAAGGTATTAAACGGGAAAGGTGCAAAATGTAGCTTCTCAAAATGTTCAATGTTTTTTTTAGATGCATCCATTTTTTTCAAATCTTGAGAAAAGTAAAAAGGATTTTTGAAAAAAAAAATAAAGGCAGAATGAAATATTTATTGAATAAATAAAAAGTATCTTTTGCATGCAATATTTTCAATTAAAAATTATACTATATTTTCTGTTTTACTTCACCCCTGTTACATAACATATTAAAATAAACATTGTAGAAGTTTTCAGGGACTTTCTGCCCTCAGTAATAATGTAATCTTTCATTCTGCGTTTAAATTTTTCAAAAATATTTATTAGTTTTCTTCGGATTCGAAAATAATGGATACATTTAAAACACATTGAAAATTTTGCCAGGTGACATTTGGCGCCTTTCCCCTTAATTAAATAAATATATATTTTACAAATGACAAGAAACTTTTTATTTTTGAATAAAATGAAGAAGTTTTATTAAAACAAATATACAATTTACCTAAGTACAATTTAAAAAATATATTTATTTAGTTCAATTAAATGTTTCAGTCATATACTCTACGACACTGGTCGGTCATCTGTAACCAAAATACCTTCGTAATCGGATTATAAGGTTGATTGCTGTATTGTATTTCTTCAGATACAAGGTGGGTTAGTCGAAAATATCTTAAACCATGAATTTCAGGTTGGTTTTTACTATCATATCGTATTACCTATCCTGTCTGTATTTCAGTTCTCTAATTAGAGTTAAACTTGTAGTGAGAGCTATCGACAAATTGTAAACCGATTATAGATCTTGATTTTTTTTTTATTTAATACTGTATTAGTATTTGACTAATACTTATGTGGAAAATTGAAATTTAAAACATGTTGATTGTTTAGAATCTCTAGTGTAAAAACAAATTAAGGGTCCATATTCCAACCTCCTCCTCTATTATAGTCAGTTGAAACTTGTGTGTACTCGAAAATTATGTGCTCTAAATGTAATTAAAACAAGCTAATAATATCCATATGCTATTTATTTATTAAAACTATCAAAATTTTAGTTTTAATTTTCTACTTAATTGGTTTTACAGTTTATAAAATTGGATACAAAGTAAAGTCGTTAATATTACAAATATTACTTCCTCTAGCTAGTTTTATGTATCCATCTTCTCCCCAACTGCTCCCCCATGAATTTTTAATGAGAATGTATTCATCAGTATATCCTACAGCAAGAACTGCATGTGAAAGTGGTCCGCAATCTGTTTTGTTATAAATGCCGTCTGTGTACTCTCTCCAATGATTTGCACCAACTCCGACAGAAATTGGTCCAATTTTGGCTAAAAGAAATAACATATTTTATATTAATTATCTAATAATATGAATGAATTGACAAAGTACTTTAAAAGTTTACACATACGTTTACACAGCATTTAATTCCTTGCTGATCGCTTTCACCTTACAAAGCCATCTTTAGAGCTATACTACAATATAATAACTTAATGTAAGAGAGAAATTCTATTGTTTATAATAGAATAAATCTTTTTATCAAAATTAAAAAAAAAACAGCACAAAAACAAATTAAAAGCTTTAGATATGGTACGGATCTCCTCCTATGTTGTCTGATGGGTGGACTGAGTAGCTCATTGAATAACACTGCCGGTCCCAAGCCCGGAGGATAAAGGAGGTGGGTCCCTAAGTGAAGTTAGCCACCTACCTGGGGTAAATAATCCATACTGCTCACAGAACTAAGAACACACCCCCGGTTACAAGACAGAACTATCAGATGACGACACGCTCTATGACAACAGAAAAACGAATTGGTAAACGAAAACCTAAACACCCCATCTCACGAATCGCGTGCTGGAACGTAACGTCGTGAAACGGAAGAGACCAGGAGGTCATAATAGAAATGAAAAAACACAATTTTTACATCTGCGCAATCTCCGAAACAAAGTAAAAAGGCCAAGGAACATCAAAATACAGAGAGTTTACACTCATATACAGCGGAAAAGCTAAACAAGAAAGAGAACATTCAGGAGTTGAAATTTTGTAGCACAATAAATACACGCAAAGCATTGAAGATATCGAATACATCAACGATAGGTTATTAAAAGTCTACAAAAATGCGTAACATCACAACACACCTGCTATGCACCTATGCCCCAGACATA